TAATAATAAATGAAAAAGACGCTAGTTTCTTTAATGCAAGGCATCGGTTTGCGGATTCGACACTCATCTCTCTTTTTAAGTTTCAAGAGATAATCAGCGATAGATCTAAATGGAGAAAACTGCCCTACATATGATAAAGAATTTTTGATAATATTATCCTTAATTTTCAGCGGCACATTATATTATGGGTTTGAGACGAAATCAAAATCGAACTTATTTGTTCTTGATAAATGGAGCGATAAGAGTTTTTTACCATAAGGTGTAATCGGATAGGTTTTTATACTCCTTGAGCTTGGGGTGTGCGATAGACTTACCTCCACGTGGTGCACCCTGGGCAACGTATACTCATACGGCAAAAAAGTCTATTATTCGGCAGTTGACTTCTGACTTCAAACTACCAAGTCCCCACTGCATTTCATATTCGACTATTTACACAGTACTCACCTCACCTTTTTCTACCTTTGTGTCTGTCTGTCTCTTTTACGTCTGTGAATCATTATTCTATCCCCCTCTCGACGTTTTGCCACTTTACTGTTTATCTTCCTTTCTGTGAAGCCTGAAGTCAACTAAAGGGTTAATGATACTTATCATAACGCCTGCCATTTGAAATAAATAAACTCCTTGAGCTTAACGATGGATATTTCGTTTTCCATGACTCAATAATTGTGCTAAATGATCATGAAAACCATGACCATTCGCACAGATGAGCTCCTTTATAATGCAGAGTGTGCGATGGATAGTTCTTTTCATTTGACTTCGGGTACATATATGCAACTTAGTCATTAGAACAAAAGATATATACAATTATAGAATCATTCACTTTAACTGTTTGGAGGACATGTTTTTTATTACCATTATAATTAGAAACTATAAAGTAATAGTCAATGCGTATGTTGGTGCATTTAATAAATAATAGTATTAAAGAAGGTAGTGTATCTAACTAATTAATTGGTAATAGAATTAAACCTTATTTTTTTACCTCGATAGATTGTTATTAAATAGTATCTAAGTAAAATTTTATTTGATTTATTTTGAGATAAAGCCATTTATGATAGAATTTTATAAATCATGGACGCTTGTTTAAGTAACCATGCAGGTAATCCGCTAATTACATTTTCGTTGATTTCATTCATTGTCAAGATTTTGGCGTTTATTCGAAGTAAGTTTCCGACGTCTCTGCCAAAATTTGCCCTTTTGCTCATTATAAGTTATTGTCTTTTTATCTTCGGTTGTTCAACCTTGTTTTTATAAGTTTCTAACACACGCAGATATGTTTTTGTTGTTCTAATCCGCATAACTCCTACCTATGTTTCTCAATCTCGAAATATTTTAAGGTTATTTTAATGGAACTTTTTGCGGCGCAAACTTTCCATTAATTTCGACAGGAGATGAGAGATTTCTGACTCGATTCATTTTTAAATGTATAGGCCTAATATTTTTAAAAAATTTTTATTGCCTCCTTATTTTAAGGTTTAATTCGTTATCTTCTTGTGAAATCTGTTATATTCTACGATTCTTTGCATCATTTTGCGATATCGAGTTATTGACTTTTTTGTCCTTTTTCCTTTGCGCATCAAGTTTATTTGCATTGTAATGCTACTAAATCCATATAAGTTGTTTTCATTTGGTTTCCATCACATACTTAAATGGTTAATAATTAAGTTTATAATATCTTAAATTCCTTTTTATTTATTAATTCAATTCTTTCTTTAAATCTAATTTAATTGATTAAATTTAAATATGTTCTGAGCTTTATTTCATTTTCCAAAATGATTTTTATTCATTTTACATGAATGTTCTTAAAATATATTTTTATTTTGTTATTCTATATATTCCATTAGAACATTAGCTTATTCTTTAGTTATTTTTGTCTTTAATTTTTTCTGAATATTGTCTTCCATTTTCGAAATTTCATTTTGTTTTGTACCTTGATATTTATGTTGATTATAACGCCTTTTCTTACTACAGATGCCTCCCCGTCCTACGATTAATTCGACCGATGTGAGTTTATTCTATTTTATAATTAATTTTTCTCGTTATGGTTATTATTTTTGAATAACATCATTCTCATTTTGAGGATGGGTCGTATTTAAACTATGCTGGCTAAAATTAGACTAATCGGCTATCGATTATTGAATTATCAGTCAGCTGTTCTATCCCTTAGCTCCTGTTCTTATTTATTGTCTATTGCGCATAGCAAAAGATGAAAAGTGTCAAAAACTTTCATCGTGGAATTAACCTAGGCACAAAAAAGCATACGGTGAGTGTATTTGCTGGTGGATGAGTTCGAATTTTCCGTTGTGTTCAGAAGTTGAGTTGAGTCGTTAGTCATTCCTCTTATCGGTTGTTAATATTAATATTTATTTTGCCATGCCATCTCGTTGGAGGTTCTAATTCGTTTTCTTCGCCTACTATCCAGTTCACCCCGAGTAGTGCAAGTCGACCAATCGTAAGATACCCTCTCCTCACGGAATTGAATCAACAATCTCGGTTCATTACTGAGGAGGAGGCTCATAATAGAAATCGATGGTACCGCGTCAATCTTTCGGGTAAGTCAGTGAAGCAAAAATCAATGAACTTTATTAACCTAGGTGCTTTGGCTCCTAGTGTGTACCAACTGTCATTTTTAATCGGATCTTTAATATCGCTTAAGTGTCCTAAAATGTCCTTTGTCTTTCAATTGCAGTTTGAGGTTTTATAGTTGTATTTACATGAAAACTGTTATGTACACATCTAGAACGCCACTTGTACATAAAAATCACTGTGTTTGTGAAACTAAAAAGGAAGCAGAATGTGTCGCACTTCCAATGAATTAATTCATAAATCTAAGCCTCTTCTCTTATAGCAATTGTTCTTGTTCTTTGCCTTTTCTCTTGAGTGCTTATGATTGTTCACCTGTAAATCACACCCAAGATTTAGAAAATATATATTTTTTCATGTGTGTGCTGTTTTGCTTTCGTTTTTTCGGTTTTTAATAGCTGTTTTGTTTCCCATTTATTGATTAACACTAATATCAAGGTTTTTACCTTGAATATGAGGGTGGTATCATTTTCCACTTCACGGCAAACTGTTAACTTGGTTAAACATGATTTAAGACTTTTTTGAATTTTAGGTAATTTTACTTTCTTGAGTGTCTTATCAGAAACCGAGGATTTGAACCCTGGGTTCAATTGAATCCTTTATGTATTTTTCTTACAAAAATGTTGATGAGATCATAAATTAACTTGATTTAGAAGAGTGTTCTTCGACATTCACTTGTTTCGTTGAGTAAGAGGGCAGTTACTGGGATGCACTTTGTAAATTCAACAAGACCTTTATATCTTCAATGTTTGAAATTCTTATGAAGATCGACATTTCTTTGTTACCTAAAGAAAAAATTCATTTTTTGGTTTTAGTTTTATCTATTTTGAATTTGGCAAATTAAATTCTCGCAATTGTTTGAATTGCTGCCCACTATTGATTACTGTTTTTTTAATTTCATAGGCCCATTGAAGAATTTTCCCTCCAACCTCTGCCATATGACGCATATCACTACACTTGTAATTAAAAACAACAATCTGGAGCGTCTGCCTCCTGAACTGGGCAACTTGATGAACCTAGTGAACCTGGACGCGAGTTATAATCGTCTGCGCTATCTGCCCGAGACGATTGGCAACTTGATCGACTTGAAAGCTGTAATTCTCAATGATAATTATCTTAGTGATCTTCCGATTGAAATTGGGTGTTGTTTTAACATTCGGTATATGAGTAAGTTTTGAGATTATCTTTTATTTGCTGCATTGGTACATTAATTCCCTAATTTGCTATGTCTACCCTTTTGGCATCAAAATCGTTTTGGTTTATTTTAAGATAATGGTTGAATCCAATTTAATTTATGTTAAAATGGGACATTGGGTTGTAGGAATGCAATTCTATTCCTATTTGTATCCTCCTAACCACACATTTCAAATTGAGACTTAGAGTAGATAAAGGGATAGATTGGGCGTCGATGGCGTAGTGGTAGGCGGACGGTTTTTTGAAGTCAAAGTCCACGAATTCTATGCCAAACCACACCAATTAGGTCGGTAATAATAGGATTAGACTTTTTCATCAGTAAAGTTTAATGATACTGTCCTCTGCCCAACATATGTGTATTGGAAGGTGGTTTCTAATTTCAAGGCTCTAGAACATCTATTTAGTAGAAGCTCAAATTTACGGCTATTTCGATGAGTAGTAAGCAGCTACTTATATCCCAGCTTTTGAGGTTAGAAATTCTCCTCTGCGTATGTGACCTTATCGTGTCACGATTAGTTTTCCTCTTTTTGTCCAGATACGTTTATTTCTACTCACATTTCGTTTTTTAATCATTTGAAGTTGAAATCTCATTTTATGCTGTTGCTCAGCTGATTTCATTTTTCCAAGAGATGTCTGCCTGTCTGTTTAATTTATTAATTGAATAACTGCTATGAATGCCTCTTTGCCTTGAGAACGGTAGCAATTTCACGAAGGCTATTTCCTGACATTTGCATGGGATATTGATCTCTATGAATGGAAATCCACTTTGTAAATTCCCTAAATCCTGCTATTAGTATTTTTGGTCGAAATCTCCTCCGATCTTGCAGACTTGTTGACCCTGACTCTTTTAAAGTGTGTTCTTAGATTTAGCTCGTTGAAACCGCGCGTCATGTTCAAGTAGAAGCTGATTACATTTTCAGATGACATCATGCTTATGTTTTTTTTTGGGCGTGAGCCTTGGGCTTTTTTTGCACCTTTTTTTGTGAACGGACATTTACAAAAATGCATACGAGAGAGCACACCCATCTGGAGTGGAAACAAGTTTGTCTTGATAATTTATTCTTCTATCTGCAAACCTAGCAAATGCGGAGATCCTAAGAGATTTTCGAATGGATGATGTCTCTATATAAGGAGATTTGTGCTCGAACCGCAATTCATTGACTTAATTCAACATTTTGCACATCACAATTCTCTATTGTTCTTTTTTTGGGATCAGGCTGTTTTGTTGCACAATGGTTAGGTGTATCGGGAAATTTGCTATGAATTGGGATTCTTAGTGTATGCCTTCTATCACTATTTAAAACGAGCATTTTCTATCGGATAGATATTTTATTGTAACGTCACAAGGCGCCTCTATTTTCATCTGGGTACATGTATTATGCTTGCTTTTTCGGGTTCACTGGTTCTTATGGTGCATAGCTTCGTTGGGCTATTTATTTGCGATGCTGTGCCTAGGAGGGCAAGGGAGTTTCCATGACCTTAGGTCATGTGTTCTTATCATCATCATCATCATCATTAAATATCTCCACCCTTTTTCTATCTTCACTTTTCTCATCTAATCACACGGGGGTAGTATGGGGCAATAAGTTGACTTTTTAATGCTACTAAAGAGTTCATCTCTCGTTAGTGGTCTTGCAAGTACTCAGATTTCTGCTCTTCATTTGGTTATAGAGAAAGGCTTGGCAATTCCCACATGAACGCTTTTAAGCGTTTCATTCAATTATCACTAGGGTTTTTTATAAAACTGAGATCACCTAACAGGGGGTAGTAACTAAAGGTGCTGAAACTAAGGTCGTTTCATCCGGAGGCCTTCCCCGCTTGTTCATTTCGGGTTGTAGTTCGCATTCCCCGCATCATTGAGCAAATTTTGTCCGTTACGTCTGGCCCTTTATTGTTTTTTTTCAAGCATGTTGTTTGTTTTTCCTCTGTGATGCATTGATTAAAGCATCAAAATGATTTTACGCACTATTATGCAATTTCATGATCTAAATATCGCAAATTTAATAAAACACGTTTATAGTTGTTCTTTTGGAGGTCATTGTGGTTGCGCCATCTTACCGCTTTACTCTTTTCCTAAAGAAAGAAGGTTTTTGGGTCTTAGGAGTGAAATGAAAATAGCTAGGGAACACATTAACTGCTCGTTGGCGCCAATTGGATGAATTTCATAACCTAATTTAAATCCTCTCAGCTGATCATGTATGTGTCTAGAAATTGCTTACTATTTATTTGCAAATTTTCCAGATGCCCTTCATAAACTCTCCTTAACTTGTGGTTTATGTGTGGCATTGGTGTGCTGGAGTTGGGTAATTTTCTAAAAAGGCGTATATGTGCATTGAGTGCTGTTTGTATATTCCAATCTCATCACAGGACTTCTTCAGGTATCTCAATTATTGAAGTTTAGGAATTGAGGAAAGGTAAGGAGTTGGAGTTTGTTCGATAAATATATCTGCCTTTATCATCCCTGTCTTCTTTGTATATACTTTTGTAAAGACCTGAATAAAACCTTGTCTTTCCTATGACTGTAAATAGTATTCAGCTAGCAATTTCGTTTTTTTTCAAAGCTGGGTCAAAGCTTTGTGATATGAGAGGTCAGTCCTTGTGCAGTTGAATTAGTGAAAGTAGTTTATATCAGAACTGTGCATACTCTAATTGCGTCCCAAACGTCCCGCAGGACTTTACATTAGCTCAGACATATCAGCTGTCAAACGATGCTTTTTATCGGTATCTTATTGGACAAGTAACACAATTGGGCATTAAATTGGTACTTTCGATGTTCTTACTTTGGCAAGATATTTGCTTTCTTCTTTATGCAGGTCTTATCAGTGAAGTGAGCCTTTTTTTAGTAATCATCGCGCCAACTAGTAGTCTTTTCTTTTTCACTTGGCTTATTATTACCTTTATAAATTTTCCTAAGTTGATTAGTTATTCGTGAACTGAATCTTATTATTGACCATCTCAATTTTTCAACCTCTATTCTTCTTAAAATTTTTCATCACCACTTGGGAATACCCCATTTGTTTGAAATTAAATCTTAATGCTGGTTGATTTATACACTTGAAGGCTCATGATTGTGAGAATTCACACGCTTTTTTTCCTTTGTTACTTTAATTACCAGATAATTTGCGGTATAAAGAGTACCGTTTTGTGGGTCACTTATTCTCTCGTCTTCGTTCTCAAGGTCGATGGTATGCCGTTAGTTTTTTCTCCACCCATGCGCATTTACCAAACATTTTTACATCATATCTCCGGTTAACATAAAAGCAGTGCACATTTTAGCCCCCTTCCCCCCCGTGACTTGAATATGTGAGCGCAGGCGTCGAGTCACTCATTTTTAAATGAGAGGTTAATGACCTAACCAGAGCGCCGAACCATCTGCTTATTCGATGGCAATATTCGTGACTGTGAAACTCCGTCTTTGCTATTTCTTAACCATCCAACCTGTGTTTTTGAGAGAATATAAGACATTTAGGGTAAGCTCCCATGCCATAAAATTTTAATCGGGAAATTGAGCCATTTCAAAGTCACGATCGATAGTGATGCTAGATTTTCTGTTTAGTGAACATTTTTTCCAAGTTTTATGACTGTTCAAATATTGCCCCATTCAAGTTGTGTGGCTGATGACTACTTGAACCTGAAACGATTTATTTGTTTTCTCCCCGTGAATGCAATTCTACTGGTTAGTCTATTCCTCTCTTTCAGTTTTAATTCCATCATCATTCTAACCTCGCTTTCTCTCTTAGCTTCCATTTATATTCGAATGTGTGTTCTATGACCATGGAAACGAGCGTACATATTGCTAATTTGCATTTTATACCGATGGATGGATGAGTGGGGGTGTGCGCGCATACATACTTGACCTGATGTGCGTTCAGGTTCGCAAGGAGGTCATCAAATTTTCGGGCGGCTTCACTGCAGGTGGCAGTTAGCCAGAACAAATTTCTAAAAACTTCACATTTTTTGATAAGATAACTTGACAAATTAAGCACAACAGCGTTGATAGTTCTCTCATGTTTGATTCTGATTATTATTTTTTTGAGATTTAAGCTTGATGACTACTGATTTCTACCGATTTGACACAAAATGACTATAAGTCGTATTCATCAGGTGTATGCTGTTTATAAAGGCTTAGTCTTTCTAAACGAAAATTATCTTAATGTTATAGCGGTATGGTCTCATATGTTTTGAATCTAGAATACTAATTATGCTACCGTTTTACAAGAATTTTTCTGAAAAATTTACGCAAATAGAAGTATAAATTTATTGAGAAAATTTATTTAATTCTGGTTCCAACTGTATCAGGTAGCATAAATAACCATTTAAATCAATTCATATGCGTTGCTATGAGTTTCAAATCTGCGTCCTTTTTTGGAATGTATTTACGCGCACCTACTAATGGCTGCTAGGGTGTATTTGTTTATTATTCTGCTGTTGAAATCTGTTAATATGGTTACTGTTGCACGCAAAACGTAGGGGGCTACTTGAAAGTAAATTAATTACAGCAACAGTTAACTTTTAATAAACCAAATCTACATATTTTGCTTCCTTCTTCTTCTTCTTCTATAATCTGTAACCCTAATGTTAAAATCTACCTATTTTTCTTTCAAAGCAGCCATTTATTTATTTTCACCATCATAAGGACTATGAGTAACGAATTTTTATTATATTTCTTCAAAATCAACAGGAGCCTGTTTCAAGTTACCATTATCAGTGTGATTATGTTGGTTTCTCTCGTCTTAAGTCTTCGTTGGAATAAATGATGAAGTCTTTTTTTGCGAAAAGTGCTTTTTTGAGATCTGTTAGAAAAATGTCTGCACGTGGCTAATACATAGCACAGGGTTTCTACGGTGATCTGAAATCTTGTTACGATGGTAACTACGATCGTGTGGGTGTAAATGTCGTTTTCTAGACATGGTTTGATCAAATCACATGAAGTACATTTACTCTCAGGCTGTATTGCATCAAGTGTTTGTAATTAGAAGGTGTAGAAAGAGAAATAGGAAACCACGAGATACTGCATTTTCTGAATGTTGGCATAACCTTTTTTGGAACTGACTTTTAAACACAAAGTGCTGAGCTTTTATGAGATTTCGTGGTGCAAACTTTTCCGAACCATGCCTTAGCCTAATTTTAACTCATTTTATTGCTAAGGTAAGTGTATACCATGAACAGGTAGGGTCGATAAGGTAAAACGGCAGCACCAATCCAATTTTCCAGTTCAGTAAGCAGTAATAAAACAGGTGGACAGTGGTCCTCTCTGCTTTTTTTCATTTTGATGTTCCTCCTCCTCTGTGAAGCCTGAAGTCAACTAAAGGGCTAATGATAACTATTAAAACGTCTGCCATTTGATATAAATAAATTGTTAAATTCGTTTTTGGTGGCGTAGCATCCCTTTATTTTATTACAAATTAAGTCTCTTCACTTGATCTTCAATACCGGATCTCTGACACCTATCTCTATCATAATAATCTCTTTCTTTGTAATTTGTTGGGTAAATTTTAGGGGTGTTGATTCATTCTCTTGCTTTAATTTCCTTTCTTTTAAAATAAACTTTTTGCGATTGTCAAATTAAATT